ATATATATATATATAATTAATTAATTAATTAATTAATTAATTAATAACAATTCTTAGATTAAAATAAATAATTTAAATTAAAAAATTACAAATAAAATTATCACGTACTATCATCATCGTAATTTTTTCTATTATTATTTTCGTTATTTTCATCACCTTGGCTTTCACCGTACCTTTACCACATCACTATCATTGTTGCCACTTCTACCATCACTAGCAATGGTGGTGGTAGCGATAATAGTAGTGACAATTAATATAACTGTAGTCACCATCATCACTGTCATCGTCTTTCATGTAGTTGTCACCTATATTATTGATGTTGTTGGTGTTACAACAACAATGATGTGGTGACATTGATGTGATAATATATGACAACTTTATTTATAATAATCTTTTTAATCTAAGTCATTTATTTTAATTTAAGGGTTGTTATTAGTTATTTTCTTATTCTCATATTAGTAAATGTTCATTTAAGTTGTTCCCTATATACCCTAACCTCCATACCCCTTAAAGATCTAATTACTTCAAGTCAATAAGTCATGTTTTACATCAAATTTCAATTATCTAATCATTAAATTAAAAACTTTTAATATATAAATCATGTCTACAGTTTTGTAAAAAATTTAAAAATTATTTAATACTTTATTTTGTTAATTCAAATTGACATATAATTATAAAAATATTTTATACATAAATTTAAATAAATATAACAAAATATTATATATTTTTAAATTTATTAAAAATTTATAGTCTTAATTTATATATTAATAAATTTTAATTTAATAATTAATTTATTAAAATTTTTAATATAAAATATAAATTATTGAATAAAATAAGTTAATTTTTTTACACTCATTTCAGAATTGGGTGTGACTAAAATCTATCATTTTTTTAAACTTGAACGCTTGTTAAGTAACAAAATCTACAAGGTTCCCCGTATTCTTCCAATAAATCTCGATCTACCAATCAACTTTCGCTTTTTAACCTAGCGTGCACTTCTTGTATTAAATTAATTGAATTGAAATAATAGACTACACGTTAAAAAAAATTGCTACCTTTGAATGGTAACATGGTGACAACATATATATAGAGATCAAGGTTCAAACGATACCGGTGTAATTTTTACTAAGTATTATATTATTTAATAACTTTATATAAATTGTAAATTTTATAAATTTAATCGTTTGGTTGAAAGTTCATATCATTTTATATGTATATATCAAATTTTGTTAAAATTAAATAACAACTTGAAGGTAATCAAAATGTTTATATTTTAGTATATTTTGAAGTGAATATATTACGTCAATTTTGTTTTATAAGAATGAAGTATCAAATCATCTTGAATTAATATAAAATTTTATACATATAATCTAAGAGATATAAACTTTCAATTTAACAGTTACATTTATAAAATTCACATTTAATATAAAGTTATTAAATGATGTAATACTTAATAAAAATTACATCAGTGTCATTTGAACCCTCTTCATATATATATATATATAATACTTTAATTAAAACTGCACCTCTAAAATTAATTTCCCCAATGTAAGAAATAGATTCTGGTTAGAATTGAATTTCCAAAAAATTATATTTTCAGATTTTCTTTTTAAGAAAAAAACAAGGGGGAGTGTATTTAACAAACAGAGGAAGTGCAAGTAGCAGTACCCATGAGAAACAATTTTTCACCCAACACACCAAATTTTCTATTTCATTTCCCACTCCACAAAGCCCACACAGATCAATCCATTCAGCCCAATTCCTCCGCCACCCAACTCGAGCACAATCTAATTCCCAAATTTCCACCCCACACGACCAAAGACGCGAACGGTGGTGGCGATGAGTGAACGAAGCGGTTTCTGAAACCTTCATTCAGGTCATATTGTTTTCCTGCTAACTAACTTACATATTTTGTTGTAAACTGGAAAATCATACTTCCTTTCTTTCTATGAAAAGTAAATACTTCTGTTAACTTACATGTTTCTGTTCATATTATTTAATTCTGGCACGTTGTTAGAGATTAGAGATACTTGTTATTATACCCAATTATTATAACTTCAAACTTGGTGGCCAAATATCAAACCGGTTTGTAAAAAATCCAAACTTTTTTAAGTGGCATTCATTGTTGGTCCATTGGTTCTGGAATGCCGTTTTCTTTACTTGTAGTTGTATGTTTCGTTTGTTATTTCCTGTGTTATTGCAAACCGATGTTGAAGAATAGGGAGTGTGTCAGATGTCAATAGTTACTGAACCTTCTGTTAAAACACAAACCAATAATTTGGTTTCTTAGCTCGGTTTTGGACTATGCATCATGTTTGTTAACTATTTAACTATGGGAATGGTTCGATAAACTTATTCAAAAGCACTGGTACGAGAAAAAAACAATAGAAAAAAAGAATTAAATAAGCTTATCTATAAACCCTAATTTATTCTCTTATAATATTTTAAAGTTTTAATTTAGTCCCACTTTAATTTTTGGGTTCAATTTAGTCTCATCTGTCAAATATACTGACAATGTTTGCCTTCCGTTTAAATTTTTCAAACGCCATTTAGGAGTATCCATGTGATTGAGAATCACGGGCGTGATTCTCACAGCTCTTAAACGGCGTTTGAGAAATTTAAACTGTAACATAGAAAAAAAATATAAAAAAAATAAAAAAAAATTCAGTACCCAGAACGGTCCGTTCCCATTTTGGAACGGGCCGTTCCAAAATACTGATTTGGCCTTAAAAAATGAAGGAGAACGGGCCGTTCTAGGCGTGGATTTTGTGCGGGATTTGGGAGTTCGGAACGGGCCGTTCCAAAATACTGATTTGGCCTTAAAAAATGAAGGAGAACGGGCCGTTCTAGGCGTGGATTTTGTGCGTGATTTGGGAGTTCGGAACGGGCCGTTCCGAGCTCGGTACGGGCCGTTCCGAGCTCGGTACGAGCCGTTCCGAACTCGGTACGGGACGTTCTGGTGCAATTCGAAACTCTATAAATAGGGGTTGAGGGCCTTCAAGAAAATGTGAATTTTTAGAGAGATGTTTTAGAGAGAAGGTCTTTGGGTCAGTGAGTTCCTTTCTCTCCCAAATTTCTCTGTTTGACTCCTTTTCTCCTCTAGACCACTAATGCCTTCTGCTTTCTCTTGAAATTCAGATTAGAAAGTTTGCTTTGGGAGGATTGAAGTTCCGGATTGAACTTTGGAAGGAAATTCTATTTCGTCACCGTTGTTAGCTATTCTGAGCCAATCTTCAGGTGAGGGAAGCTAGAGTGTAGATTGACTAAGTTGTTTTTATGTTGTTTATATAAGTTGACCTTATAGATGAATTTTAAATATGTTGTATATTGCTGAAGTTGTTTATAAAGTTGTTAACTTAAGTTGTTCATATGTTGTGTGTTGATAATATGTGATACGTTGTTAAAGTTGTTATACGTGGTAAAATTAAGTTGTTTTTATGTTGTTTATTGTTGAATTATTAATAAGTTGAGATGTATAAGTTGAAGTAATTTATTGATGTAAAAGTTGTTTAAAGTTGTATAGGTTGCCTATTGTTGAAAGATGCTTATTGTTGTAAGTTGCCTCTTGTTGTAAGATGTTTATAGTTGTATTGTTGAGAGTTGCTATAAAGTTGTAAGTCGTCTATTGCTGTAAAGTTGTAAGTCGTCTATTGCTGTAAAGTTGATGTGATGTCTATTGCTGAAAAGTTGATTATGTTGTTCAAGTTGAAAGTTGTTGAGCTGATATATGTTGTTGATTTATAAGCTGATTAAGTTGTGATGATAAGTTGTTGATCACTAGGACTAGAGGAGATGTTTTCGAAGTTGCTCATCCCATTGTGCGGATTGAGATAGTTGTGGTGCTCTGAGAGCCCAATTTGTTGAAAAACCCTCCTTGGGAAGTTGTCCCTTGGAGTGGACGTTGTATCGTTCTCCTCTAGGACTTAGTTGATCCCGTGTGTAAGCAAGGTCGAGGCACACGTGTATAAAGCGACCATAGTATAGGGGCCAGGTCGAGCTATATTGATTACAAGCGGCCAGAAGTTGAGATACATAGTACTAAGGTGATAAGTTGATAGTTGTTTTAAAGTTGAAAGTTGTTTTAAAGTTGAAAGTTGTTTTAAAGTTGAATCCCTTAGTACTGTGTGGGCGACATGGAAATAGTCGATCCATGTCATGGTTGAATGACCAATTTGAGTAAGGTATCTAGTTAGAGATGCAGTTTTTGACTAGATACTGGAGGGTGCGTGGTACTTGGAGGACAGTGGGTGGGCTAACTCCACATGTGGATTGGTGAAGCTAGCCAAGGCCGTGGTAGGCTCATACCCAAACCCTTCTGTCCTGACAGTAGTACTGGACCTCCGAGTCTAAGTGGCACACCTGAGAAATCAACTATTGTTGTCTATACCTGGTTCTCTTCGGAGTTCCTAAAGCTGTTCTATACCTGACTTGGTGGAGATAGGTCAAACGCTGGATTCGGTAGGGTTTATGCCACCTAGACTGCTCAACCTCAGTTGTTGGAGATCTCCCAGTTGTATATGCGTGACGACGCATTAAATATTAAGTTGTATATGGTTGTTGTTGTTGTTGTATTAAAGTTGCTTCTAAGTTGTATGAATGAGTTGTGTTTTTATGATGAATTGTATGATCGTTTGTGATGATGATTGTTATGCATTTATTGCATGATTGTTAATATGTTGAAGTGTGTGGTGTCTTGCTTCATGTTTGATTTTGAACTCTAGCTTACCCTTCTGTTTCCATGTGGTGGAACTGCGATGATCATACTTGGTATGGGAGCAGGTCAGGGCTAGCTTGGAGTTGAGGTGACCGCTACGAGACGGGGAGTTTTGATCCTCGTGTTAGAGTTGTCACCTTAGATAGCAGTTTTGTGCTTGACCGGCACTAGGAGATAGTAGTTTTGGATAACTGTATAAATACCTAATACTTAAAAAACTTAATGATATATATCTTTGTTTATGTTTTGTATTTATAAGTTATCCAATTTTATTATTTATCTTAGTTCACTATTTTTAGTGCGATTCCACTAAGTGTAGGGACCACGGCGGGTCGTTACATAAACAGAAGGTAAACATTGTTAGTATTTTTAATAGGTGAGACTAAATTGAACTCAAAAATTAATGTGAAACTAAATTAAAACTTTAAAATATTATAAGAGACAAAATTAGAGTTTTAGCCTAAATAAAAAGATTTATGAGACATTAAAAGGAATGAACTTTTCAAATTAGCTTGCGCATAAGTTAATTTTAGCTTATAGAAAAACTTATTTTATTTTTTATTTTTATTTTTCTCTCTTAAAAGTGTTTTTGAGAAAGTTTAGCCAAACAGACCTTATACTAATGTAGCTGCCTTTTGGTCAAACTTTACAATCATTCTTTGATAAATGTTTTGGAGGTTTGTTCTTTTATTCCATTTGTGACTGAATCTTTCTCTTTCC